TTGATAAATGGTTTCGACAAGTCACACGCGGAACTGTCACCCTCGCCGACGACGGCAACGGCAACGGCAAGTGTTGAAGCGCTTTGAAGATACGCCGTAAAGCTGATGAAGGAATATTGGGTTGAACGTCCACCACTCGCAGATGCGTTGCAGACGCTCAAGTCGTTTATCCGGCGCCGCGATGAGACTGCCGTGGCGGATAACACGCCTGTTACTGCCATAGAGGTTCAAGGGGGTATCACAGCACCGGAACAATTCGTGTGATGCGAGCGTCCAGCGTTCTTCATCATCGTGTAACCAGTAAACATGGCATGGCAATGAAAGGAGACTGGTCGGCTTAGTCAGCGTATTGGATTTCGAGCACCTACCTCGGTATGGAATCCTTCTCTTCGCGCATGTCTGAATGTCGGTGAATGTGACAGATGCTGTGCAGAAAGTGGCGTTCCCGCAGCCAAGAGCTGTCTGTCCTGATGGCCGTGGTCCGATGGAACGTCCTTGAGCGTCCTGTGATGGAAGGGTGGTCAGGCGACAAGGGCGAACAATGACCCCAAGCTGGGTGCTGGCCCAATGCGAATGCAGATTCGACAGCATGTGGCTGGAAAAGTCATAGGAGATGCCCTTTTCCTCTCGAAACGTGACTGTGAAGGGACGACTGGGGCCATGATTCGCAGGGTCAACCAGGCACACCCAGAGGCAGCCAAGCAGGGCCAGGATCCTGGGCTTGAGGGGAGGGGTTGGAGGGGCTGGGATAGAGACGGCGGTACAGAAGGTTGAACTGATGACAGGTCGAACGGCTGGATGCTGTGTCGTGACTGAGTAGCTAGCAGTTCGTCCATATGCTCCTGGCGGGCAAGATGGATCAATGTGCCCTTTTGAGCACTCATGTCGAAACCTACCTACCCTAGAGTAGGTGTGTGTACACGACGAGAACTCAAAATGGACCATGACGAGAGTTCCCAAGAAACGCGCGTGTGCGTACCATGGACAGAAGGTGCCCCTCCCAAGAAAAGTGGTGGGGCCGACGTTGTGTGACTGACCCGCTGTGACCTCATTGCTGGAACCAAAAGCATCGACCTCAGCATTTTTGCCATGGCTGCGGTTTGGGGGGCCGCCTCCAAGCTGCTTCAGCAGGTGCAGTTCCCCGAGCTCAACATGTAGACGTGCTATGTCCCAGCCAGTTCGTATATCGACCTGACTGACTTGGGAACTGGCGATGCAGCGCATATGCGGAATCCATACCCATGCATCTTGCAGTTAGCAGGAGCATCCTATCCAAGTGTATTCAGTACAGGGTGGTTTGTTGTTCTCACTACCAAGGTGCCTAGGCAGTGAAGTAGTATGTAGGAAGGGTACCCTCCTACCTAGATAGCTACGTGGTGGCAGTGGCATGTCCACTGTTGTGGACCTGCACCGCAGCTACCCAGGCAGGCAGGCAGGCAGGCAGGCAGGCGCCTGGCAACCCCAACAATTTCCAGCTACAGGCACCTCACTTACAGGTAGGTAGGCACCTACGGTAGGTGCCCTGGCTTCGGGGCCTGCCCGTGGACTAACACCGCCCTGAATCGACAGCGCTGCTCCACGGCGTCCTCCAGTTGCCTAGGTGTCCCTGATCAGATCACCATCTACACATGGCAATGTAACAGCTGATAACCATGTCTCCATCAACGACAAGTGAACTACATCCATCACATCTACGTGTACCTCGTGCCGCCGACACAGTGCTTGTTGACTGCTTGCTTGCTTATCCGACCGCCCTGTCGCCCCGCGCAATCCTTCAACGACTCTGTCAGGGCCTCTCAGACCCAAGACCGACCAACAGTCAGGGTTGCTTGCTTGCATTGAATCTTGACAAGCTCCGCCTGCCAGGGGTGGCCCAGCCGCGCCTTTACATCATCACGCCCTCTCGGGCTCGCACGCTCGCACGCATGCTCTACTGGCCCCCCTCCATCGCTGCGGCTGTTGTTGACGCTTCCTTCCCGTTCTGTTGCAGCCCAACACATCGGTTCAGGTTACTCGTCCTGCCTCTGAGGATCCTGCATCCTCTGGCCCCGGTCTTCCGACTCTCACCCAGCCTTGAACAGCTTGCTTCCCGTCCACCTTTGCATCATCATTGCCTCCCCATTCTCCCGCAACAGAGACCGAACGAGGCCTCGACTTGCTGCCCTGAGCTTTCTTTTGCGCCGACACCGACAACTACCCCGCGCCGGCCCCCAAGTACATATCGTCAAGACGGATGCCACCACAGCACAAGCGCGCGCGAATTCAGTGACGTCCTCAGCCTCAAGTCATCCGAAACGCAACTCTCGCTACGGACTACGTCTTGACCTGCACCACCCCATCCGCAACTAGACTCTAGACTCTAGACACTCCTCACCATCGCGCGCGATCCCCCATCTGCACTGCATCGCGCTTGAACTACACCCGGAATCTTGGCTTCTGCTTGACCGAACCCCAAAACCCTAACCCCCAGGCAACACAGCACCAGTCGACCGAAGCGCCGACTACAATCTTCTCGCGCACGCAAGGAGCCTCTCCCCACGACCAGCAGCACTTGGTATCACCCTAGCACGGGTTCCCCCTCTGACAACGCGGAGGCCCGATCATCTTATCTCACCACGGCGACCCGCACGAATTGCATGCACAGAACTTGCGTGCGCGACCGAGCCGAGCAACCGCAAACCGACTATCGCCCTGACAGCACCTCAACCAACCCCGATCTGACCAGAATCCAGATCCAAGCTGGGTAGACAATCGCCACCCACCAATTGACCACCGCTGCGTCGAGAGAACAACAGTGACCGCGCATCACAGCAACACAGCATGGCCGGCGAGCAGGAACAGGCCCAAGAGGCTGCGGCAGCGCAGAAGGCCTCGGCCACGCAAAAGTCCGATCCCGACCCTGAACTCGAGCCTGTCGCAACATCTGCCGTCGCCAACGGGAGCGCGGGGGCGCCCAAGAAGAAGAAGAAGGAAGCCCTCAAGCCCATCATAACCACAGAAACTCCCCAGTATGTCCATTCGACTTTCCTCGCTGTCTCCTTTTTTTTCACTTGACATGAACATCATTTGTGCGCGCGCTGCCCTCCCCCTCCTTCCCATGTTGATTTACAGGCCCGCGCCATTTATTTTTGCGACTCGGTCGGGGTCAGGCTCATGTGGCGGGGTGGAGGAAGCAAGCAGGAAAAGACACGAGAGACGCTACTGGGGTCGAAACACGGGCCTAGCTGTACAGGCGGGCTGCTGCGGCCAGGCGAAGAGGCGAGCAGGCGACTCGAACAGCACCCACGCGAGCGCCGCTCAGACCTATCAGAACCGGTCAGAGGCAAGGCCTGATCATCATCAGAGGCTGGCAGGCGGTACGCAGGCGGCGGCACACGCTGCAAGCTGCCCAGTGGCATGCACATCGCAGGGGGGGAGGAGGCTGTTCCTGTCCAGTCTGCTGCTCCCGCTCAGCTCCACGTCCCCCTAACCTCTTGTCCTATCGTTCTTCATCAGCATTTTGCTGGGCATAACTGGCCTACCATCTCCCCCCCCCTCCTCGCACTCTTCTCGCCCCCCTGCTCCGTGCCTCAAAGAGAGACCCGCCCGCCTCGTCGGGCACACCTCAAGTTGTGTTCTGCTTGTTCCATCCTCACCACATGGCTTAACCCGGCGACAGTCGTTGAACCGGATCCGGTTCTGGCACTCTCCCACTGCACCATTCCTTCGCCTTTTGCCTTTTGCTTTACGAGTTTCCCTTGTCAACCTGATTGCGCTTTGCGCGCAATGTCGCGAAGATGAGCTTCATCAAAACAAGGTTCTGCTGCCCGAAATGTTGTACCTACCCGCCGCGCTGCCTAGGCCCGGTCGCGAAACCCTCAGCTTCCCCGCCAATTTTGCACCGCCGTTTCTTTTGTCGGGCGCTTGCGGCGCCCACCACCTCTTCTGTTACCACCTGCTAACCACTCTTCTCTCCACGCAGAGCCCATCAACTGTCCGCCATGGCGTCGCCATCGTCCCCGTCGTCAGACGAGCAAGAAAACACCGCCGACGAGGGAAGACTCTGAGGACTACTGCAAGGGTGTTATCACCCCCGTCCAGATCGGGGAGCGCTTTAAGGATGGAAAATACACGGTCGTGCGAAAGCTTGGATGGGGTCACTTCTCGACTGTCTGGCTCTCGCGGGACAATACGGCCGGCAAGCACGTTGCGCTCAAGGTCGTTCGCTCCGCCGCCACTACACCGAAACCGCCGTCGACGAGATCAAGCTCCTCAACAAGATTGTCCAGGCCAAGCCCAACCACCCTGGCCGGAAGCACGTCGTCAGCCTTCTCGACTCGTTCGACCACAAGGGACCCAATGGCACCCACGTCTGCATGGTCTTTGAGGTCTTGGGCGAGAACCTGCTCGGCCTGATCAAGAAGTGGAACCATAGGGGAATCCCCATGCCCTTGGTCAAGCAAATCACGAAGCAGGTCCTGCTGGGTCTCGACTACCTCCACCGCGAATGCGGCATCATCCATACCGACCTGAAGCCCGAAAACGTCTTGATTGAGATTGGCGACGTCGAGCAGATTGTCAAGAAGGTCGTTAAGAGCGACACGAGCGAGAAGGAAGGCAACCGTAACGGCCGCAGGAGGAGAAGAACTCTCATCACCGGCAGCCAACCTCTACCCTCTCCCCTCAATGCGAGTTTCAACCAAAACAACATGTTCCCATCGTCCGAGTCTCACAGCAGCCTCGGGCAGATGCTGCACGAAGGTATGTGCGGTCGCGCAAGAATGCAGCCCCCTCCTCGCACTCTACCCCACCTTCCAATCAGCCCCGCGCACACCGCATCGGTCATCACGATGGAGGCCTGCAACCCCCCACCTGCCCCCATCCATGCATGCCATTTGGGGAGAAAGACATCGACTGACGAGTTGTCACAGGCAAATCCAAAGAAAACTCGCCAAAGCGTGACAAGAGCGCCGACCAGAAGCAGCGTGAAAAGACCGCGTACGTTTCCTTCTGCAATGTCCCATCACGACAGTGAATGCTGACGTCGCTTGTACAGCGATCTTCTCACCAGGGAGGTCTCTGGTATCTCCCTCGACAAGGCGAGCAGCTCGTCGGCATCGTCTGGCGAGAAGGCGCAAGGCGGACGATGGCTTCACACTCGAGGTCATCAGCGTCAAGATTGCCGACCTCGGCAATGCCTGCTGGGTCAACCATCATTTCACCAATGATATTCAAACTAGGCAGTATCGTTCCCCCGAGGTCATTCTGGGTGCGAAATGGGGTGCGAGCACCGATGTCTGGAGCATGGCTGCGATGGTAAGACCTTCAAGATCCTGTCCACGTCGACGCACACTATCTCCTTTTGACGAGTCGCTGACCAGTGACAGACATTTGAGCTCATCACGGGCGATTATCTTTTTGACCCCCAGTCCGGTACCAAGTACGGCAAAGACGACGACCACATTGCTCAAATAATTGAGCTTCTCGGCCCATTTCCGAAATCGCTTTGCTTGTCTGGGAAGTGGTCTCAGGAGATCTTCAATCGCAAGGGCGAACTACGCAACATCCACAGGCTCCGTCATTGGGCTTTATCCGATGTGCTAAGAGAGAAGTACCATTTCAAAGAAGAGGAGGCTAAGCGCATCGCCGACTTCCTTGGCCCCATGCTCGAGCTCGTTCCAGAAAAGCGTGCCAATGCTGGCGGCATGGCTGGACACGCGTGGCTCACTGACACGCTTGGCATGAAGGGAATTAAGGTTCAGGGCCTTGAGGTGGGAGGCCGCGGCGAAGGTATTGAGGGCTGGGCAACAGAGATCAGGAAACGGTAGTGGATTTCACTACGTACGACAACATGAATCGGAACACACTTCACACCGCACAGGACAACTTGGGGATACGAAAGGTGCTGAGCCCTTCCTCGTCTCGTCACAACACAACACATCGCTGGTCAACGTTTGCTTGGTTCCTCTCGTTGCGGGTTTTAAGTCTGGGCAATGGCTGTGCCTCCACGTCTAAGGAAGAGCGTTGTTGTGAGAGGCTAAACAAACACGTGCACTGGACGAACAGAGGATGGGCCGAGGAAACAGGGACATGCCGACGTTGCTACACTACACATTGCTATACGCCGAGCAGCCTACACCACAATTGGTGGAACCGGTTTGAGGAGTACCGCAGCTGGGAGCTTGTTATTCATGGCTTGTCGGTCTGCATGACGGATAGATAGACCACTGACTTTTTCATGGAGTTTGTGCCTTGGAATCAAAGTGAGCACTCAATTGAGAGTCCACGGGTCATGTCGGGGCACTACTGCGTGATCACTGCACGTCTTTCACAAGTGGCCACACGAGTTGCGATGACATGTGAAATAAGCTCGTCAATCAGTCCACGCAGCCCAAGGTCGTGCAATGCGTGCATCTTGCGTCCCGCCGCTCTCTCTTCTCTGTAGGTCCTCTTTCGCAATACATGCATGGCCATATACACACGGCGAATGATGAAGAAAGGGGCGCCATTGTGGGTCGGGTTTTGATGTTCAAATCTTGTGAATTGGTGCCAATCTCGACGAGACAGAAAATCGCCACGCGGAGCGCGCAGCGGTCTCGAGCAGGCGGAGGGGGCCACAAAATCGCGATATCCCTATCTGACATGACAAGAGCCCAAACGCCGTATCCCCAATCCCTACCGTTGACATGCCCTCTTGAACGGGCGTCGCCCCACCTCACCAAAATCTACTACATCTCCACACTGCTCAACGCTTCTTCGCCTTCTGGGTCATCTTGCGGAAGGCCTCTGCGCCGCTGGCGCCGATGGGGCGGTGGTCGGGCGCCGTCGTCGGGTCGAACGTGCTCACGGGGGCGATGCTGTAGCTGGCAGGCAGGCCGCCGGGGCGGGCGCGGTTGCTCTTGACGCCGTTGGCGAGGAAGCGCTCGCGCTCGGCGTCGCGGGCCGAGATGGAGGGACGCTGGGCGAGTGTGTACTGCGAGTTTGCGTTGCGCAGGGAGGCCTTGTGAGCGCTGGAGAGGAGACAAACTTGTTAGCAGGGAGGGGTCACCGGGGTCTTCTGAATGTGGGGTGGGGGTGGACAAACTCGTAGTCGTAGTCGCGCGTTTCAATCTGACGCTTCCTGTAATCGTCGGTGCGCTTCAGCAGGGGACGGCTCCATTCGCCGAGGAGGCGGTCGGCCATGCGCTTGATGCTGACTTCGGGCCGCTTCGAGTGTTTGTAGAAGAGGACGACCTTGCCGATGCCGGAACTGAGGAGGACTTCCTTCTCTAGGGTCAGGTTGCAAAGCGCGGTAAAGATGTCTCGCTGAATGTTATACGCGGGTAGACTGCCGTCGTTGAGGGGCTCGAGGAAGAACTTGACGTGCTGGAGGAAGTTGGTGTCCGGGTCGAGCACGGCGTGCTGAACGGTAGTACGGTTCAGCAGAGCGGTGACCTCTGGCAGCAACTTTAGCTTGTGGACGGCGGGCTGGCCGGCCTCACGAGCCTTGTTGTCCGACTCGCAGGCACCTTCCATGCGAAGCTTCAGCGAGGCAATGTGATCGTCAATCTCGTCTTCCAAGTCCTGTCGTAAACGTTAGTAAGCCATAGCCCTATCACGTCCATCGGAACCTAGAGCTTGGCGAACACATACCTCCTCGTCCTTCCTCTTTCTCCTCTTTGTAGGCTTCTTGAAGACACCGTCCAGCGTCCGGTCGATCGCTCTTTGCCTTCGCTCCTCAGGCGAGAGATGGTCCTCGTTCTCTGGCTGGGGCGATGGTTTCTGCGCGCGGGGTCGCGGCTCTGCGCCGCGGCGGGATTTACGCGATGGCCTGCTCTCATCAAAGTCGCCATCCGCAGCCTCGTCCTCGTCGGCGCGCGAGCGCTTCTTCTCGCGGCGGCCCTCCTTCGGCTTCCTCGTCTTGTCGCCGTCCGTCTGCTTCCTCTTGGAGGCCTTCAGGGTCTTTGCAACATCCTCGTCCACGGCTACGGGACGATCCTCAATGTTCGCCGTCTCGGGGTCGTAGTCTTCGAATTGATTCTCGTCAATCTCGGAAAGGGCGTCGGACTCGACGTCGGAGAGGTCCTCGGCCGTGGCTCCGTCGACGCCCTCATGGGGCTCCTCAACATCGTCGACGGTATCTTGACCGACGGCGGCCGGAGAGCCTGGAAGGGACTCGATGTCGGACATTGTGAAGAGTTTGTGGCGACCCGACGTCGACAAGAGCAGGTATCAAAGAAAGTGTCTAGGCCGTGAGACGGCTCTCCTTTCCGTAGTGAGTGGGTTTCCTCGTGCAAATCAGCGTGTTTCGGGTGCTTCTTTGAGTGTGCCGTAGTGAGTTTATGGCGTGAAGAGGATTTGCCGATGCCGTCGGATGTCGCGTGAAGATTATAGCATCTACCTAGTTGAGAGAGGATGGGAGGTCTAGCCTCGACCCGAAAAGTGAGGTATGGAACATAGAAGTGACGATGGTCCAAGCGTCTGGCCTATTCAATGCCCAGACTTTCCTTCTCTCTCTCTGCTCCCAGATAAACGCGCCGCGGGCTCGGTACGTACAGGCTGGCGGGTAAACTTCGGTAGTGTGGAAGAGCTCGCGCGGGCATGAAGCGGCCGGCGAGCGGGTCGCGTTGCCTGAGGCGAGGGGCAATGTTTACTTTGGATGCCGACAGAATTCCAGACGTCCAGGCCATCTCATTTTCCGCCTGGAGCGCACGCCCTATGTTGCGACCGTTGCGCCCTTGTTCTTCTCCTTCGTTACAGTCTTGACCAAAGCAGTTCTTGGGCGGAAAATACTACATTAAGCATGGATCGCAGAACGTACGAAAGTCCCATGGAGTGGGAATACCAAGATCAAAGGGGCCCATTGGATGCCACCAGTCCATTTTCTCATGTCGCCAAAAGCCAGGCGACTCGCATCGGTGCGTCTTCCTTCTTCAGACCCTCACTCCTGCCTTGGATCTCGCACTTCAGCGCTAACCTGGCTGCAGATTTCAGTTCTCCCAGCAAGTTGAGCTCCGGCCGACCGAACCCATTTGCCAACAGCCCATCGAAGCCCTTGCCTCCGTTGCCTCAAACCTCCCTCTTCTCGCCACGCATCCAACATACCAACACGGCACCACCTTTCAGGAATCCCGCCTTCACGACTCCACGCAAGCCTTTCGATGAGACACTCTTCTCGGAGGCCGAGAGCAGTCCTGCGCTGACTGAAGCCTCGGATCTTCCCAACGACACACCCGACGTTGATCGCACCACGGACCTCAACATGGGCGCATGTCTCCTTCCAGGATCAACAAGAACCTGCGCTATGCAAGGTCACCCGGCCAACACCTCAAGCGACATATGCCGGGCAAAGGCGAGATCTCACGAGCTCACCGCGACCATGCCGGGGCGCTGCGCAAGCGAAGCGGCACAACTATGACCGGGACGTCGGCAACGTGCGTTACGACTCGTCGCGAGAGACGTCTGCATCTGATTCGGAAGACGAGGATGGATATCAACGGCAGAAAAAACAGGGCGGCAAGGGCTCAAAGAAGAAATCAGGCGCGTCAAAGAGCTGGTTCGAGACCATTGTCCAGACAATCAACCAGAACCCGAATATGCCCGACAACCTGGCCCAATGGATGACCTTCTTCGTCAACGTCGGCAGTCGTCAGTGTGTTCTCTACTTAGCTAGTCTCTGTTCTCCACGTCAGCACAAGACATTGCAACGCCCATGACGCGGCGCGGCGAGACATGTCACCAAGGCACTCGAATGCAACACCAGTACATCCTCAATGGCTGCGAGAAGAAGGACAGGCCTGCGTTGAAGCCCATGTGCGATGAGTGGGACGAGTGCCGCATTCAGGACCCGGAGTCCATCATGCGGGTCAAGAACACGGCCAAACAGGTGGCAGAGGTTATCAACGAATTTGCTGGAACCATGAGCCTTCATGCCTGGGTACGCTGTTGTCTGCGCTCTTGGCGTTCTTGCGATCACTGAGCATTTACTAATCATCTGTCGTCTTTGTAGTGTTTCTTCTTTGGCATCTTGCTTCTCTGCCTCGGACTCAACGCCTGGAGCCATGTGCAGATAGGAACGAGCGCCAAGGCCGTGCACCCCGTTCCTTCCAATGCAGCAGCCGACGTGGGCCACCACCCGCAGCCCTCGGGATTCCCAGGCGACTCAGCGCAGGCCTACATGTGGGTGCCGATACAGACGCCATCTCATCGCCGGCAGCTCGACTTTGACGCCGACGGAACAGACACGGATGGCGCATCACCGCCGTTCCGCAAGACTATTCTGCCGCCCCCGCAAACACCGTCGAGAAGGAGTCCAAGTAAGGGAGACTACAGCCGAAGTCCGGTGAAGTACGGGCGATCCCCGAGTAAGGGCTATTGAGAAGCGGCAGTCGTTCACGACTAGCTCCGTGAGACCATTTCTTTTGTCAGGCCTTGGAAGTGCAAACTTGCACGGATGGGTTTCGTATGGACTAGGTTATGAGGACTTTTGTAGCATACACCGGGGGGGGGGGGCTGAACGGAACAAAAAGCCGATATATGCATGAATGCGATTTTGCAGGTAACAGCCGCCGGCCAGCGTGATCGCCGATGCCACCAAACTGCCACAAGCAGGGCCCCATGAATACGCACCGAGCAGGGAAGGCAATGCAGGATCTAGTCTCTTGTACGTAACTTGGTGGGTTCGACAAGCCTGAGAGGTAGATCTGTAAAAATCTGCCATGTTGCCGGGCGGTACATATAGAACGATTGACTTTGGAACGGTGTTGCGCTGGCGACCGGGGCACATGTGAACCATCATTATGACGTCAGGAGGCTGCATGTAGTCTGGCGCGCCGCGCTACGGATCACATAGCTCCTTTCTGCTAGGCGGCTTAGCAGGCGTGTCTGCTCGCGAATGAAGGTCTCTACCCCGGCTTGCCCAGGTACCTTACAGGCAGGTAGGTGCCGAGCTCGCCCTCCGCAGTGTAACTCGAGCTCTGAAAGCTCGGACGGGAAACAAGCGCCACTGAGCCCTGGGGCCATTGGGTGGGATTCCCATCGAGCAGGCATCGGCATCAGCTCCCCATTGGCCTAGTTATGCTGGTCCGATGATGGCATCGGCTGTCAGTGAGGGGGCTTGCATCTGCCACCAGCTGAACTGCGCAGTTCATAGGCTCGTTGCAATGCTTTGGGGTGGCACCGAAGCTCAGTGTCGCAAGTCAGATCCTGGCCTCGATTTCTTGAATTCCCTTCCATGTTCACCTAACCCCGCGCATCTCCTTCCACGCGTGACTGCCAAAAACCTCCGAGACGGTCAAACCAACAATATACACGACGAAAAGCGAGACCCAGTTGAAGGCACAAACCAAGCTGACTGTCTGCGCTCCCTTGTCCCGTTGCCATTTGTTGAGAAGCACAACTTACCAAGAGCTTCCGCCATCCCGATCCTCGAAGCTGTTTGGCGCATTGTTGACTGTTGCTGCTGCTTTCATGGAGCTTAGGCAAACAGAGGCTGCGAGCTAGAATACAGCTGGACGGACGTGAGCTCCCCCCCCCCCCCCCATTGAACGCAAGCTACCCGCAAGTGTTGATTTCATCTCTCCTTCGCGCCTGCCTGTGCCTGCCTGTACTTGCCCGCACATGGCATGAACGATGCGCACTGGAATGCCTCACTTCCCGTGGTTCACCTCTCCAGCGCGATTCTGTTCCTGAACTGCAGAGTGTCCTGCTGACCGGAAGATGAGATAGCCCAACGTCGCTTCACAACGCAAACCACTCTGCTTTCATATTGCCGATCAATCAAGTTAACAACCGCCAATACGCCGGTCGCGGAGGGCCTCAGCATGTTGAATCGACCACGAAAGCTTCCCTGTCCGCGACCGTAATACAAATTCCCGACCAAGGAGGCTGGGTTTGACTCGTTCAACCGACGATCCGGCAAAAATTGCCCATCCTGAAACGCACTGCGTCTCCCAAGATGGAGGAGGCAAACAGCGACAGCCATGATGGTGATGGCCAGGCCTCCTCCTCCGCCGCGCCCTCGGCACCCCAATCCAACTCAACACCATCCGCGCCCTCGAGCTCTGGACCCCCCTCCGTTGGCCCATCGGGCTCGACACCAGCCCAGCAACCAACAGCATCGCACAACCCGCTGTCTAAACGGCGTCGAGGGCTGGGGATTGTCACCCCCAATGCCTGCACAGAATGTCGAAAGAAGCGGGCAAAGGTACGTGCCCCGCCCCCGCCAGCTGCTAGAAAGCGCGACTGACTCGCGCGTCCCTCATCCAGTGTGATGGACGCAAACCGTGTAGTCGCTGTCAGGGCCAAAAGGACATTGAGTGCGTCTACGAGATACCGGTCCGCCAGTCCAAGGAGAACCTCCGCACTGAAATTGAGCAGCTGCGCTATCGACAGCGCTCGAGCGATCAGGTCTTCGCTGCCCTCGTACGGCCAGATGCTTGGGAGGAAGTCCTCAAGCGCCTGCGCAGCGGTCAGTCCGTAGAGGCCATATCCGACTGGCTCGGAGTGGCCCTGCCGCCTGGCGGCTCGGTACCATCTTTTGGTCGGTCAACTGGAGAGGCCTCGGGATCTTCTGCAGTTTCTCTGGCTCCCATCGCAACCCTGGGACTCGGACGCGGCGGCCCGTCTAACAAAAGCCCATTGACTGCCAGCCAGCCGTCTGGCCTGAGACAGGAACTCGACCCGAACAGCCCATGGAACTTTTCCTCATACAGCCACAGCACGAGGAGCACCTCCCAATCACATCCTGACTCGATGAATTGGAACACCGACGGGAACAATCAGCCACCACAGAACAAGGTTGGCTACTGGGGCGACTCTCTCGGCGGCGAACATGTCGAAACAAGTGTCATGTCCTATAGGGGTCTCGACCAGGTCCTTGCACCGCTCGAGGCTCCCAAGATGAAGGCGCCAGCCAGCACCTGGTCAAACATCTCGACAGACATTGTCCTTGTTCAACATCTTCTGGCGCTCTACTTTTGCTGGGAATATCCCACGTTTGCTTCTTTGAGCAAGGAACATTTTCTCAAAGACTTTCAAGAAGGCAGGCCACGCTACTGCTCGCCCATTTTGGTGAACGCCCTACTCGCCTTGGGCTGCCGGTTCTCAACAAAGCCGTCCACCCGTGCCGTTCCCGATGACCCGTACACTTCGGGAGATCACTTCTTCAAGGAAAGCCAACGTCTCTTCTACTTGGAGGAGGATCATCACACCTTGACTACCATCCAGGCGCTGGGTATCATGTCGATACGCGAGGCTAGCTGCGGACGCGATTCCGAGAGCTGGTACTACGCGGGTCAGAGCATCCGGCTTGCAATAGAAATGGGCCTCCACCAAATCGACGGTGATGGAGATGCAGATGAGCTTGCCGTGCAGGCCGCAACGTTCTGGGGCGCTTTTGGGCTTGACCAGTATGTTTCTCATGATCACGCGGAACCAAGGTTGAGGCCCCAAACTAACGATACTTTTCATCAAGTGCCTGGTCCCTTGCGACAGGCTCACTACCTCAGTGTTCCTGTTATCCTCACCTGCCTCCCAAACCAGCCATCATCGACGATATAGAGGCGTCCCTGTGGATTCCGTATACTGACGACGGTATGAAACTCCCACCGATTCCAGCCTCTGCTTGCTGTTCGCTACTGACTCTGTGTACAGGTGCGCCGCTGCAGCGCTCAGCGGAGCAGCCTTCCAATGTACGATCGGTGTACCGGTGTTTCTGTGAACTGAGCGAACTCGTGCACCAGTCGCTTTATGTCCTCCACTCGCCCGGCCGACCTTTGACAAGTCGTGACCTTCTCAGCCTCTACACGCAGTACCTTAATTGGTACGACCGCATCCCCGAGGTGCTCCGTCTCGGCCATAATTTCACGCCGGCCGTTCTCTTCACACAGTAGGTCCCCCCTCACTTTCTCACCAGTAGTCTGGGTCTGAGAACTTCGTTGTTTTCTTCCTTCCCACAACGCTGACTCCTGCGGTAGCATGTACTATCACTTTGCTATCCTGCTGCTTTTCCGACCCCTGATCAAGCTGAGGATTATTGGTTCAAAGATATCTCCCCGCGATGTCTGTTCGCAAGCGGCAGATGCGATTCAGGGCCTGCTCCGCTCGCACTCTCAACTCTACACTCTTCGTCGCACGCCATCGTTCGTGCCGTACTTTGTTTTGACATCGGCCATCATGCATCTTGCGATCAGCGCGCCGGTGACTCAGTCGTCAAACAAGAAGGAAGGGATCATGAACCCTTCTGAGGAAGCCAAGGACTCTGTCGACAGTCACGTAGCACAGGCTATCAAACAAGGCGTCGAAGATCTGAAAGAAATGTCGCCATGCCATCACTTTGCCGAGCAGGCGCTCAACATTCTTCGCTACCTCGCGCACAAGTGGAACATTGAGGTGGACATGGGCAGTGACGACGTGCCACTGGAAGAGTATGCGCGCAGCGCCAGGCCGTTTACGAGTAGTCTCAACTTTTTTGCGCCCAACGTACGCGAGGAGGACTTTGTCTGCGAATGGGGTACCGGCGCGGGTGATGGAGTCCCGCGAGAGATGTCTTCTGTTGAAGGGCTGTCGGCGCTGGCATCTGGCAGCGGGGAACAAGAAGAGACGACGGAAGGCAAGGCATATGCGCGTGCTGCCATGTCGGCCGCAGCGGAAAATCATCTGTTCTGGCCCTTCCCCATGCAAGGGCGCCCAATGCTGCCGACTGGACAGCTGCTGCGCGATGCTGGGTTTGAGAAGCTGTGAACACACAGTCGCGGGCCTGGATGGATGTACATGTGTACGAGGGAGGGCGACGGCTGGGAGAAGTGCAATGTTCAAGCAGCGAACGAGATTTATACCCAAGTGCACAATGTATGAATGAAAGGACATTGGCGCCGTCGATACATGCCTGTTTCGTGCATCCTGCGCGAGGCTGTATCGAAGATGTTGGGAGTATGGCTGTGAGGTGAAGGCCAACGTGAGGTACCGCACCTACCTTAGGCACCTCACCAACCTCGGGAGTTACTGCCATGGCGACTCAGTGACGCTCGGGCCACCTAGCTGACTCTCTCACGTCTTGCACCGAATGGGGCATGAGCGCCCCAGCAGCAAGCAGCTGCCTCGGCTGATTGACGGTTGCGCCTGGCAGTTGAACGACTGCCGAACCACGAGATGCTTCGTCCATGACACGCGCCTCTCGACGAAGCCCCTCCCACTACCCTCTCATCACCCATCATCACAATCATCGCCAAAACCACGGTCGCGCCATTATTCCGATACCCGCTCCTCTGTAATTCCATCTCGTCTGCTCTACGCCTTTCAATCTATAGTCAAGATACCTCTACTTGTCGCGCGCGCTACTCCTTCAATGCGATGCCCGCGCCACTGAACGGGCTTTCCAAGTCCAACACGCCAAAACCGCAACCCTCTTCATACCGTTCCTCCATCGGCAGCGTCCTATCTCTCCCGCCAAAATGGCTCCAAAAGTACGAAGATTTCATCACCAAGAACGGGAGCCAGGTCTCTCAGATTGAATCTGGCCTGAGGTCCCTCACATACGTCATTCCAGGTACGTCTCTTCCGCATGGACACGATGGCATCCAACGTGCAACTGACTTTGCACCGTCTAGGTCGCTTTCGCGACGCCGAGATAGCCTCCGAGACTGTCCACTCGAGCGTGCAGCTGCTGTCGCTCTACCACGACACCCTTCTCACGCGAGCCCTCTCACGGCTGCCCATCACCAAAATCCCATCCCCACACAATCGATACACACAGTTCTGGACCCAACGCAACACCATGTATCGCCGCGTCGCGATGCTCCTGCAGATGGTCACATATACGCAGCTGCTGTGGGAGATGGCAGCGAAACGAAAGGGTGGCAACCGTGGGCGGTGGCGCGTTGTCGTGCTCCTCGAAGCCATCAAGGCTCTGTGCCGGCTGCTGCTGTTGCGCATCACGCGCTCGCGGCCTCTTGTGACGCCGGTGCTCCCTGAGCGCGAGCCGGTGCCCGAAGACCCTGAGGAGCAGGCGGCCGCGGCGAACGAGCTCCAGCAGCTCATCGGCGGTGACCCAGTGGAGGACGTGGACGACGGCGTCAAGGCCCACGAGAAGGAATGGGCGATGCCCAGGACTGGCATGAACCTGCCGTCACTGCCCCGGCCCGGGGACATCAGTAGCTATCTGCTCGGCAAGGTACTCACCTCGGACGACATCAAGCCCGCGCCTCAGCTGTTGAACCAGATCCAGGGCCAGGCCCAAGCCGCCGAGGTGCTCCACATTTTGGCGCCCCTCATTTACGCTTTGGCGTTGGCGCGGAGTAAAGATAGGGGGTCGTGGACGCCGTGGCTAGTGGGGTTGAGCGTCGAGTACGCCGCACGACAGCTACGGGATCGCGGCTTCCGGACGACGCCACTCGAGCGAGACGAGTGGAACAAGAGGGCATGGGCCATGGGCTGGTGGACGATGAGGGGCGCTTTCTACGAGAAGGTCATGAAGGGCGTGGTGGGCGGTGTCAGGTCTCGGATGCCCAGCATAGTGGGAGGCATCTTGGAAGACTACGAGTACTTGTGGGAAAACTACTACTTCAGCACGAGCGCATAGCACCGCTCAGCTATGGCCATTAGCCGCGTGCCCGCTGCTGGGCCGTGTGGTCTGGAAATATATAAGCCACCCGCAGCACACTTCTCACCGGGCTCACTGGTCACATTGGATCGCATGTCGTCGCGCGGTCTGGTACGTGGCGTCCAATCGTTCTTTTTTCTCACCGTGATAGATGATCTCGCCGGATCAGGACCTTGATCGGAAGAGTACGGGAATGGATACGGACACGAGACATGCGGGACTTTGCCCATCTCAGACACGCCAGAAGGAAGAGGAGGGGAGGACAAGCCACAAGTCAGGAGATTGGGCGGTACTCTACGTCGTGTGCAGATGCCCGCCGGATCACTCGCCACTTTACATGACAAGCATGCGGCGTTACGCTACTGCTGAGCTAGCCAGGCTACCTAACGAAGGCAGAGGAATACCCGAAGAATGGCAGAGCCCCGTTCCATCGCCTCGCTTGTCGAAGGGCAGCGGTCATGACCACTAGGCCAATCGTCGTCCTTCTTCGATCTCCTCCTCTCCGAATTCGAAGAGACATGTTGATGCAAGTACTGTCTGTTATTGTCGGACGCACATGAATGAGGGACGCAAGCAAGCACACCCCGACACGCGAGGCTGCCTCAGGCCAACAAGATGCAAGAGATGTTCGAGGCTCTCGACGCAGTTGGCCAACTGGACCGGTGAGCATTTCGAGCGACAGGTACAAGAATGTGGTCACGACTTGAGACCAAGTTGCTGGGATAACGTTGGGGCGGCGGAACACGTTGGCGCCGATCCTTCGCTCGGGGAGATGGTTCCGCCCAGGCCGCCCCAGGTGAGACGCCGGGGGTGCGGTTTTCCTTTTTCTCGTCGCCAGTGCAGAGGCATCCATCCTCGCTTCGCCATGATTAGTCTTGTAGCATTCATTCGCGGGCCCAGAGTGTGTGGGTGCCCTGGTTTGTTTCCCGCCTTGTCCACGACCAGGCTCCGGCCCTCCCCCCCCCTTCCTCTCTCGCACACCAATATCCCTGTCTATGGTGCTGTGAGTAATATGGAACCGGTGAGAGGGGACGACGACAGGCCCGGGACTGCTGCTGGGCCTTTTGCTTGAGAGCGTGGCGGGGGGGCGGGTATTGGCAGCCGCGGGATCCGACTTCGATCAGAACCCCGCCCACCCGTACGCACGCACAGCACACACATGTCACGGTTCTTCAGGATCGATCTTGACCAGGAGGAA